GAAGCTTTATGAAAATTAATAAAAAATTAATATATTATTTAAAAATCATTAATTGTCAAATTATATCAAATTATTTACCTCTTTTAAAAACTCTTCAGAAATGTCTTGAGAATTTTTAACCTTTTTTAATGCTACAATACTATTATAGCAATAATATCTTTTATTATTACTAATATATCTAGGACCATTTGACCAACAACACTTGTACACAGTTGCAAAACCACCTTCACCTATTCCTTTTTTAACTTTGAGTTGGTCATAAGGAATCCACTCAAGGTAATGATAACTATCAAATCCTTTTGCTTCAAGCTGTGTATTTCTGATTATTTCATCTAATTTTTTATTACCACTGCTAGTCCAACTTTGAGCTAACAATTCAGGATCACATGATTGACACCACTGGTAATTAGTATTATATCTTCTACAAACAGAACAGGTTCCATATTCTTCTTTTCTTTCTTTAAACTCCTTGGTGTTATCTTATTATTTTCAACATAATAAAAATAAACATTCATTTAAAAGTTATAAATAATTAAATCTAAAAATTATTTTACCTTCAGTCATTAATTATTATAATACACAAAAAATAAATTTATATATTTAGACAAGGTTTTGATAAAATTATAAAAGTTATTTTATATATAATATAACATAACATTTACCAGCTGTTATTATGAAGAAATAAGAAATATTTAATTAAATGATGCTATGAAAATTTGTTTTATGCTGTAAAAATTACTTACATGCTGGTTATCATAAAGAAAATAAATTTATTAATTAATTGATGTTTTAATAAAATTATTTGTAAAAGTTTATGATATGATACTTACTTCCTAATAATTATAAAAATTTATTAATTATACAATGTTTTAATAAAATTTATTTTGTGTTAATTTATAAAATATTACTTACCAACTGGTTATTATAATAAAAAAATAAACTTATTGATTAGATATAAAAATTATAAAAGTTGATTTATAATACAATAAAATGCTTACCAGCTGATTATTGCAAAAAAAATAAAAATGAATTTATTTAGTTGATGTTTTAATAAAATTTATTTTATGTTATGTATAAAAGCATAATACTTACAATCTGGTTATAAAAAAAAGTAAAAATTGTATTTATTTAATTAG